CACACACACACACACACACACACACACACACACACACACACACACACACACACACACACACACACACAAAATAAATGATGAGGCTATTTTTTGTCAACTTTCATTCTGACCACTTCCCCCAAGTCTCTAGTGTGTGTTACAGTGACGAGGTCATGGGACAGTGAGGAAACACTGACTCAGCTACTGTCACTATCTAAACACTGAACTCTCCCACATGTGAATCCACTGACATCCTGATCCTGGGCTCTGATGACTGACTGCTGACTTGATATGTTTTCTGTTTTCAAACAATACTTTAGTCTAAATGGTACAAACTGTACATTTATATAAAATAATAAACGGAATCTAATGGGCTGGATTTACAGCTTCATTTATTCTTGCTCTTGCATGAGAGCTGCAGATTGAAAAAAACTGTAAATCTGCACAAAGGAAGTTCACTTCTTCTCTTGGAGTTACTCCATCAAAACCTAAAACGGTTATTTCATCACACTGGCTTGATCTCTTATTGTATTTACTTAGAATATTTTGATGACCCCAGCTGACCACTGAACATCCTCCTGCCCCATAACTTCAGACATATAATGGCATTAACAAAACATAGTACACATGATAATATTCTGTCAGGGGTTCTTTTAAATATGAATAATAAAACCTCTGAGGCTCAGCTTGTTTACCTGATCTCGTATCAAACGTGACCACAAACACAGCCACGATCTGGTCCTTCTCCTCCCACTGATCCCTCACGGAGAGGCCGGGGAAGGGAACACGACGATCCGCTCCGAGAGGCTCCGGACGAGTCCACCCCGGGGCGCGGATATCTGTCAGCGGGCGGCCCGGGCTTCGGTCCCCGACGGCAACAACAGCGGTGACAGCCTTGGGCGGGCTGCATACGGTTTTTGTTGTGGTGCTCCACCCAGGACCGGCCGCGATCCCGCCAGCTGCCTGCGAACTTTTCCCCGCCGGAGCGTCCTCTGTCAGCGGCGGCGGCTGCAGCGGGCCCGCCTGGCTGGGATCGGGCGGCGGGGGGATCTCCTCCCAGTCCAGCAGCGGGGCTCGGTCCGACTGCTTCACCATGGCGCTGCTGCCTCAGGGGACACGGGGAGAGATAACACAGAGAGTCCGGTGTCCGGTGCGATGGAGCAGGTTAGAGAGTGCGCTGCTGCCGGGTGTGGATCATGTTCTGCAGCCGCTCTCCGGGTGTTTTCTGTGGATCTGACTCACTTCCACGATCGAGCTGCTTTTCCTCCCTGTCTCACTGTTGTGATGACGTCGATCACTTCCGCCCACGTGTCTATATTACTATTTAATACAATGACCCAATTTTGGTTACAGGATATTTATCTTAACCAAATATAGTATTACAACATTCATACTGAGGTTCAGCTGCAGTGCACGTGTTTTAACACATATTTTCTATAGAGCAAACGTTGATTAACATATTGTATTGGCTATTAATATATTAGTTATATATCAAATGTTTAAATATTTTTGTTTCATTATACATTTCTAGAAAATGCTAAGTTATATTTGAGTTCATATCAATTTGTAGTTGTAGTATTTATATGAACTGCGTGTTTATACACATTTCATACAGTTATATATCATTGTGTGTATATAACACAGTTCATACAGTTTTATAGTTATGTATATATAATTTATAAAATGTGTCAGTGCAATTAACAGCAGCTTCAAAGTCAGGTGTGTTGCGCAGGTAAAATTCAGCCAATCAGAAAGCGCGATGGGTCAAACTGGGCGTTGTAGTTTATTTAAACCGGAAGTAATTTACATACAGCGCGCGAAATTCAAGCGTCGTGTGGTGCTGCTGTAGGCGACTTGTTCGTGAGTAAACGTGATAAACACACACACACACACACTGATGGTTATGTGTATGATCACTGTGTGAAGCAGCTGTTGAATCTTCCCTTTCAGTCTGAAAACCACAGTGTTAGTTGATTGAATTAAAAAGATGAATCAATAAGTAATTTTAACTTGTAGATTACATCATTGAACTTGTTCTGTAGGTGAAAGTCAACGAGGAGCTAATACTTGTAGTGTAGAATCATTCTGGATATATGTAGGCCTTCCTGCTTCTGAGGTTGAGGCTTTAATTTGCAACATCCATGTTTATTATCTCCATTATCCTCCTGAAGGGAATCAAACACAGGACTAATAATGCTAATAAGTATGTTTGCTGTTTAAGGGCAGTCTAACGCAGGATTAAGCATTTTAATGGAAGCCTTTGCTGAACTACAGGCTGCAAGCATGTCGACGTTGTTTGACGAGATCAGCCAGCAGCTGGACTTCTCTAGCTGTGGAGAGGAGGGGAGCAGCAGCAGTGACAACAGCTATGATGACTTCACCCCCACGATCCGCAGTCCCAGAATCCGCAGTCCCAGAATCCGCAGTCCTAGAACCCACAGTCCCAGAATCCGCAGTCCTAGAATCCACAGTCCCAGCATCCGCAGTCCCAGCTCTGCGTGCAGGACACCCAGGATCCAACGCCACCGCAACAGAAGTCACACCTTGTCTTCCCCTTTACAGTGCACCAGCCCCATACCTTACGCCTCCTGGAGGAAACTGAGGCTCTGTGACTCCCCCAGCACACCCAAGGTGGCGAAAACATATTGTCCTTAATGTACCCAGGTAGTCTTGGATGATTCATCACACGTCAAACCAGTTTAAATTCAATAAAATAATCTGCATTTTTCAGAGTCTGCTCTCAAAGTCGTCCAACCCTTGCTCCAGCTCTAAGATAAGTTGCAAACAGAGGAGCCTGCATTTCCCCTCGGCTTCAGCAAACCTCTTCCAGGCGCCTTCCGTCAACGTTAATCCCTTCACCCCTGACACTGTACGCAGGAACAGTGAGCAGCAGTGGAGGAGCAGCTGCAGGAGTGATGAAGATGACGACTATGGACACAGGTGAACTGCTGCTTGTTGTGATATTGTGGATTGGTCAGGGCTGAACTGTAAACACTCACATTACAGGGAAATTATTATTTATATTAGGATGCAGGTGTCACAATAAAAGCGGTTATTTTTAACACCAAACACTTACAGATTCCCACAAACTGGTTTTGATATGTGGGGGGAGATAGAAATGTTTTGAGTCCATCTTGCTGTTTGTACTGCCCTGACACGGCACGCCTGATTTTTAAACCCCTTACAAATGCACTTTTAAGGTCTAAAGGTCCTTCTCCATCTTCCAGGATAAAACACAGCCTAACGTCATCAGAGGAGGACGATGAGGCCTTTCTCCCACGAAAGGTACAGCTATTTTTATCCGTGCTTTCTGGTGAACGTAACCCTCCCTCTCAGATGCCTCTGATGTGATTTCATCAGCAGGCTTTGTCATCTTCAGCTGCCTCCTCACTCACTGTTTTGTCCAATAAATGATGTGCTGCTAGTTCCGGGATTTCTCTGAGGATTCTCCAAAAAACACTTCCACCATGGAAGTGTTTCCTTATTTGGTGGCACAACAAAGAAAACCCCCGGTTCGCCAGGCTGTGATCAATCTGGAGATAGGAACATCTGTGACGTGTTGTGTTCCTTCTTTGGACATCTCTTTGGTTTTTACCACAAGGCCCTCCGTCTGTTTATCTGGCAGAGACGAGCCGTCCAAACCTTCATGCTGTCACGTTATGAGAGTGAGTTCCTGGAGCTAGAGTGCATCGGCGTGGGCGAGTTTGGGGCCGTGTACAAGTGTGTGAAGAGGCTGGATGGTTGCTTGTACGCCATAAAACGCTCTCGGCGGCCCCTCGCAGGCTCTGCCAATGAGTGAGTCAGCACCATGTTGCACTCGCACACAGCCTTTTTCATTATTTGGTTCCTGATTTGATCAAATGAACCCTTGCCCCTTTTTTAAACGTCCTTCCAGGCAGCTGGCCCTAAAGGAAGTGTATGCACACGCTGTTCTAGGGCACCACCCACATGTCGTCCGTTATTATTCAGCATGGGCAGAGGACGACCACATGATTATTCAGAATGAATACTGTGATGGTAAGTTTCACATTAACATCCACAGCGCATAATAAAGTTAAATGATTAACTGTTTTCACCTGTAATGGTTTATTTATTAGCAAGGTTAAACAAAAACAGCTAAACTGTAAAATGTGTTTAACCACTTAAAACATTAATGTTTTTAAGATATTTTAGTGTCTAAAATTCAGATTTAATGAATTTTGGACAATTTGAGATGCAACAGAAACCATGTATGAAGATATTGGTGATAAATTCAAGGTTAAACAATAACTACTAAACTGATTTATACAAAACTTGGTGGAGGGATGGGGCCAACCCAGTTTTTGCTACCAATCAAGGACTTTCTTTAACATCCCAATATATATAATTGTATTCAGGGAATAATGCACAGATCTTGATTAACAATTTTTTTTAATGCAGGCATATTTAGTGGGCAGTAGGATTGTTGGTATAAGTTTGTGTTGTACTGAGTGCCACATTAGTTGTAAATATGTTTAGGCAAGACATGTACGTGTGTGTGTTGAGCCAGGTGGAAGTCTCAGTGATGCCATTGTGGAGAAGCAGGTGCAATGTGAGCTGTTTTCAGAGGCAGAATTGAAAGATCTGCTCTTACAAGTGTCCATGGGTCTGAAATACATCCACAGCACACGCCTGGTGCACTTGGACATCAAACCAAGTAAGTCTTGTATAGTGGTTCTCACTTAGCGTTTCCTTGCACCCTCTGACGGTGTTTCACCTCTGCAGGTAATATATTTATCTGCCAGCGTCCCTGCCCCACAATAGCAGGTGAGGGGGAGAGTGAGGAGGAAGACGACAGGAGCGCTTCTGCAGGAGTCATTTACAAAATTGGTATTGCATTTGATATTAAATAAGTGTCTTCTTTTTTTTTGTTTTTAATGTGTTTGCTGTTAGTTGTGATTTCTGTTGTTTTCTGCAGGGGATCTGGGTCATGTGACATCAACCAGCAGTCCTCAAGTTGAGGAAGGGGATAGCCGCTTTCTGGCCAGTGAGGTCCTGCATGAGGTAAAAATGTGTTGCAAGAAGTAGTTTTGGATATTGAGCTGCTATTGAAATTCATAGATCCAGTATCCAACATCTATGTGGACTGTCTTTCTGCTCCGCAGGATTACAGCCACCTCCCCAAGGCCGACATCTTTGCTTTGGGACTCACGGTGCTGCAGGCAGCTGGGGCTCCTCCTCTACCTCAAAACGGAGATGAGTGGCACAGCCTTCGGGAGGGAAAGCTGCCGGAGCTGCCGCAGGAGCTATCACCTCCCTTCAGAGGCCTCATACAGGTACTCCAACGTAATGGAAGAGATTCGATTTCAGCTGCTTCCTCTTTCGATGTCACTTATAACTGGTGTATTCTGTATGGTTTTATTTTTTGGCCAGTTGTTGCTTGATCCAGACCCGAGAAAGCGTCCATCTGCCAAGGAGCTTTGCAAGCATGCAGTGTTGAGGGAGGAGAGGACTGGGAGGCTCGCCGCTCAGCTGCGTAGAGAGCTCAACGTGGAGAAGTTCAGAACGGCCATGCTTGAAAAGTAAGAAGGGATAATGAAGGGTAATTAAAGCTGCAGCCCTGATTCTGGGCTCCAGGCTGCTTAAATGTAATGGGTCTCATTCACCAACTGTTCTTAAGAAGAAATGTCTTCTTAAAACCCACATTTGCAGTTTTAAAGAAGATTCTTACATTCACCAATGTTTACTTATCTGGAATTTTTTCTTGTGTAAGAACAGAATCTACACACACTGATGTATGGTTACTTAAGTATGAAAACCCACAGATCATTCATTTAAAATAAGGGGGCAAGTACATCTGTTTTTGAAGCTCTGAATTAACATCAAAATGACCAGTAGGTGGTGCAATTTTATTGAAAACTGACAGATTATTGACATGCACTCTGTTTTATTAAATTATCACATTGACGATATTATTTAAATTCCCTTCTCTGCAGAGAGCTCCAGGAGGCTCGTCAGGCAGCACTGTCCCCCAAGCAGAGCCTTCCTCCTGGGCTGAAAGCTCCTGTCAAGATGGGCGCTCTACCCAGATCAGGGAGGAGACTTGTTGGTCGGAGCACAGTGCGATCCATTAGCTATGATTTCTCTGGATATGGAGTCTGAAAGTGTGACGCACATGTGTCTCCCTCTGAAACAAGATGGTGGTAAAAATGCAACATGTTAAAGTGAGGACCGTACGAGATTATCTGTTCCAGACTGGCACTGGAAACGACAATCATGGATGGACGACTGATGTAACTGTTGGAGGACGTTGGACAGCGTCAGTTTAACACAGATTATCCTTTCAAACGTCAAGTGATACATTTCAACATCATGTATCTGCTGAAGACCAATGTCAAGGTCTTGTTTTATTTTTTTTAACTGTAAATAAACATTTTAATCATTTTTATTGATTCTTTAATTTTAATCAGCTCTACAATTCTTCTCTGGGGTTTAAGTACATTTAAAAAAAAAATGCTATTAGACAAAGCTGAAGCAGGGAATTTCCAGCACAGAGTTGCTCTTATCTCCAGCTGCAGTAAACTGCATGACACTGTAACCACAAACAATGCTTCACTGAGCCATCACACTTCACATGAAATGCTTGTCATTCCACTGTTGACTAGACTGACACTAAATAGAACACATGCTTCTGCCAAGGCCCAACAGTCACCTTACATTCAACCAAACTTCCTGTGAACTATTTTGCATTTTATTATTTAAATTATTACAGATCATTTCTATGAAGTAAAATTTGACTGTTGTAGTTGATTAAGGGCAAAGTACATCTTCTTCTACCAGTGACTTAAAAAGGCACTTCACAGGCTAATCTATAATGATGCACTATATTTTAAATGATGTGTACTCAACATCTTGATATTTGAAGTCACTCATAAGCTGTAAAATGTGGTAAAAGAATAAAGTACAATATTTTCTTGTGCTTAGGTACTTTACTTTCACAAATGTACTGTACATTCATCCCACAATTAAAGCATCATAACTAGAATGACACTCTGTAGAGTTCGTACGTCCACCGAGGCCCAACAGTCCCCTCGTGAAACCACATTTAAATGTACAAGATCTGGATTTGTATCTGGATCTGCACATAAATATCAGTCCCCTAAATATACCTGATTGTTTTCTCTCATCAAGATGAATTAGTCTCTAGACTAGGAAGACTTCAGTTGTCGTAAAAACTCAAAGGGTTTAGTTTGTCCGCTGTGAAGAACATGGCGACCTCCGTGGAGAGGACCCGCTCCCGATGTGAATATAAAGTGTTTACATATAAAGGGCTCATTCTCGGGTAAAGGAAACAGAAAATTTAAATGATCATACACTAGTTTAAACCTCACTATGATTATTTTATATAGATTTTCTGCCAACAGATCCCATCCGCCTAAAACCTAACACACTGGACCTTAAAATAAGTGTTGAAATTTCCGACGGCGAAGAATGCGTCATGATGCGTTCACACCCCCTCGCCGTAGAAAAAGGAAGCTGCAGTTGTTTGGTTCGCTGGGATCGATGAACGGCGCGTCACTGATCGATACCACTTATTCACAGGAGGTCAACAGTTTCCCGGCACGAGACACGAATGTGAGTCAAATTATTTAATTTACTTTTGCGATTTGATTCGGTCAAGCTAACGCTAGTGCATAAACTTGAAACTTAGCATTAGCTTAGCTTCCCCTAGCGAGCTGAAAGTGAAATAAGTATTATTTTTTTTCCGTCGTGGTTGTGAATAGTAACTTCTATGAATGTTCAGGCGTCTCTAGTTTAATTTAGTGCGTAGCTTCCTCCTTGACGTAACTTTAAGTGACTTTCATCTCCTCCATCTGTGTGTGTCTGGGTGTAAGAGGCGGAGTGGGTTGCTTCCTCGATGGACAACCTGTGCATGGATGTGACCGGTGGTTCGAGCGTCGCCCTGGTCATCCTGGCCTTCCTCCAGGCGGACTGTCGGGACTCGGAGTTCAGGAAGGAGCTGCATTCTCTGGGCAACGAGTTCAAACTCACCCGGGACATCAACTGCAATGCCCCCAGCATCGACCAATTGGAGGACGGTGACCTGGAGACCGACGGCCATCTGCCCGGCGGCGTGTCCGTGTCTCTGCAGGATGTTCAGCCCTCAGTGGAGCTGCAGTGGCCAAGTGAGCACCTTCAAACTAAATACACCTCTAACTGACACCAGATCAGCTGTGTGGGGGTTTAGTTGACAAAAGTGAAATCTGATTAATTTGAGGTAAACACACACAGACTCAAATCTGCACATAAACACACTTGTTTGCCTGTTTAACAGCCATGAGAACAACCCAGCTCTCTCACAGAGCTCAGAGCTCTGGCCTCCATTTCTTTCATTTCATCAAGTTGTTTCCATTTACAGTAACAGACAGTCTGTAAAGTAAAGTGAAAGCAGGAAGTGGCAGCTGTTTGTCAGACTTCTATTAAAAGCATCAAGTAGTTCTTCGTCTGTCCTCCTTGTTGAATCCAGACACACTGGTCATTTTTTTAAATCATTCATTATTATGTTTTCCTGCAGGGAACGATGAAGCTGTAGCTAACATTCAGCAGGTCGCAGAGGGGCTGAGAGAAATCGCAGCCCAGCTCGAAGAAAGTGTCCTGGCCCAGGCCACCAGCAACCTGAGGAGGAACATATCAGACTCCCCCTCTGAGGTGAGTCTGCTGTCAGCATTTATTTACAGGCTGTCGATGATGTTCATTAGTTGTAATAACTTGGACAAACTTTGTTTAATACTATCACCGAATAGATGAAATAGATAGTATAGTACAAGAGCTTCCACTATTGTTTTCAAATGAATTAAAACAATTACTCTGTTCTTAGGTTTCTCTGCTTATAAACCACAGAGGAAGCGACACAATTTGTCTTGTTATCAGTCACTAGACAACACCTACCGATTCATTAAATGTGACATTTGCTGTTTTAAACGATGTCCTTGTGGATGCACCGTAGGCCTTTGCTGTTAGAGCGTACAAACTGTGTACATTTATGTTTTGAGGAAGAAATGATTGACTTCTGGAGCAAAATCTGGATTGTTTACCATTTTCTAAAACATTGTGAGATAAGACATGTCAGAATGTTTGTGAATTTCATAAGAAATAATGAAAAGATTTGTAATCTTAAGAAAGTGCAATATACATACTTTGTTTTAATTAACTAAAGCCACAAACCATGAGTGATGTTATTTGTATTTCCAGCAGTGGAAAAACCATCTGACCTTGGAGGTGGATCGGATAATGAGGCACGGCATTGGTCTGGAGCATCTACCTCAGGAGCGGGTCTTCATGGCCCTCACTCTCACCCTGGTTAAAGGAGTCTGTGAACAGGCCCCACAGCTTCTGAGGAGCCTCTTCTACGCTGCACTGCAGTACATCACCCCTGCGAGGGCCAGGTGACTTCAGAGCCGCTGCCTGACAGGAAGTAACACGTACATGTGGTGGGACAACGCCTAAATCTGAAACTGGCATCTGCTCCTCATGACCAGTCCAGTGAGAACGGAGCAGTGCAATGGTCAGTGTAGTCAACACTTTTTAAACTGATGAATCATTTGATTTTCAGTATTCTGGAATCAGGAAGTATGAGTTTGTGACACTTGGAAGTTTTTTGTGGTTTTCTGTGCTCTGAATCTTTCTGCCTGTTGACTCTTTACTTAAAACTGTTTGTTTATATTTGAAATACGTGCATTTCTTTGTATTCTGTCATTGTACAACTTGAATAAATACAGTATTTCTGTGATTTTTTTTTCTTTTCAATCTTTTTTTTCATGTCATAAATGTTGAGTTTGTATAAATGAAATTACACTGTTGAACATTGTAATAAACCACTGCAAAAGAGCTCTTTTTGATCCAAATTTTTATTTTTCACATTTCATAATCAGTGTATTTCAGGAAAGTCAGAGTACAAAGTGTCTTTTAAATCCATCCTGCTCTGTACAATGACACTTTCCCTTAGAGAGCAGGTAGAGTATTTTAATGTGGAATATTGAGACATACACGGAATCATCACTCCTGTATCTGAAAAACCCTTAGCAACAATTATTAATATCTTATACTGTGACTTAGTGTACTAGACTGTTTTATTTGGGACTTCACGACTCTGGACCCAGAGGTATTTAATGCAGCAGCAGAACTGTACCCTGGGAAACATGAAAATACTTGAACCCATCAATGTTTCAATTCACAAGCCAAAACATGCTGCGTGTTCAGTGAAACACATCCCTTGTGCAACATGGACAAACAGAACAAATCTCAACTAAAATGTCTGTTGTGCAATCCAGATGTCTCACAATGAATCACATTGCTGGTTTCAATTTCAATATTATACATTTGGTTTGTTTACCAGAGAAAGTATCAGAAGTCAGGGGGAACATTTATAACTCGATGCTGCTTTGCAGGATAGAAAACCTGAACTCACAGCAATAATAAATGTGAACTTATTATTTTTTTTTTTAAACGTGAACTTTTTCTTTAGCTCAAGATGTGTCGTCATGGAATTTTCCATTGAGTCTACACTGAGTCAAATGACACAATACTAACAGAAACGCTGCAGACACAACAGAAACTGAAAATAACAGAACAGGGATAAAAGTCACACTTTGTAATCAAGGAGATTAAGCACTGGAGATTTACAAGTTTAAACTAAGTAAGAAATTAAGGAACAAATTGGAGTGCATCCTTTTCCCCTTTCTGTGTTTGTGCCTGGTGGAGTGAAGCAGAGAGGAGTTGTGGAAGTAAAGATGAGGATGAGTTGAAACCTTCAAAAATCAGATGAAAAAACTAATCGGCCTCATTTGATAAATCCAACACAATTTGTAAGGAGAATCCCACCATGTGTCTACTAATACATTAATTACTAATTCAACATCCTGTAATGTGCATTCCTCTCCCCTGAGAAAGAAACTTCTCTATTCTACTTTCTCCTGTAGCTCATGATGCTGTACGCTACGACAGCAGCGAGTGCCACCAGTGCAGCGCCTCCGTAAAGCAGCGCTGAGAGCTCCGACGCCTGCTCCAGCTGCACTGGAGGCTCCTCAGCTGGGGCTTCTACAGGGGCCCCTGCATCCTCTGAGACCAGAGGTGCAGCAACGGGGGCCAGAGCTGGTTCTGCCACAGTCTCTGGCTCCTCTGGCTGGGGAGGCACTGCAGCTGGTTCTGTATCTTGTTCTGGTTCGGGAGCTGGTTCTGATGTGACTTCAGGGCTCTCACTGGCTGCAGGCAGAGGTGCCACCTCAGCAGGCACTGGTGCAGCAGCTGGTTCTGGCTCAGGCTCTGGTTCAGCAGCAGGAACAGGTAAAGGCTCTGCACATTCTGGCTCTGCAGGGGGAGGAGCAGCAGCTTCTATGACCGGGGGAGGCAGCTCTGGTTCTGAGGAGATGAGGGAAGGTTCTGCGGACAAGCTTGCAGGCGTCTCAATAACAACGTGCTCTTCTAATGAAATCAAGGAGCATGGGGCTGTGGAGTCTACCTCTGCTAAAAGTGGAACAGGTGGAGTCTGGTCCCTAAATTCCTCCCTGAGCTCGGCCAGCTCACTTTCAGTGCCTATAACGCTCATCATGCTCTCCTCTATTGCTGCGACTTCACCGCCTTCCTCCAGCAGCTCGACCTCCTCGCGCTCTACGTGAACAATGTCCGAGTTTGACGAATTGTTTTCGCTGCGCTCCTCAGCCAGAGCCACGCCGTCGTTGCTGTCCAGGCTCTTCACGTCTTCGGGGTCCATCACACCAACCTGAGCCCAAGACTCGTGGCCGGCCAGAGACACAGGTAAGCTTTCCGTCTGCCAGGAGCTCTGCCCGCTGCTGTTGTCTCCAGCGCAGAGAAGCGACGAAGGAGGGCTGAGCTGGTCGGGATGCTGATCCCCTGAGAGGATGTAGATGTCGTTGTTGTCTTCGGCGATGGTCACACCTCGCTCCTCCTCTGACGCAAGCCTGAATATTTCACTCTGTGGTAGACAGACAGGAACAGAGAGGGTATCAATATTCTGTATATCGTAAACTACATAAGAAAAGAAGTCAATCAAATCAAAAGATTAATTTATGGATGTTTACACTAAGTAATGTTTCCTACATGCTGAACAAACAGAATAAGAATTAATTTTTCCAAGCTGCCATTAAATAATTATCTCAAGAGAGTAATGATTTCATCTGTGTTTGTTTGTTTATCTGTTAGTTGGCAAAATAACTCCAAAACTAAGGGACAGATTATCATGAAACCTGGTGGAAGGATGGGATATCCTTGTCTGTGCTACAAATTACCTCACAAGGACGATCCTTGATTACAGACGTAAAATTGCATGTATTGCATATCATCTTATACAATATGAATTACTTGAAAACAATTAGCATTCCTGGGTTCAGATAAGGACAATGCTGAAAAACACTATGAGTCAACTATATGCCAAGCATTCGCTGCACTGCTTCACACCATAAGCCCATTGTGACACCTAGTGGTACGCAGCTGTAGCCAAACATTGGCTCCAGAGTCTCGAATGCCCTATTATGTAACTTGCATATCACATGATCATGTGACAGACAGAGGTTTGCTTGCTCATGCAAAATACACTTTAGTCAAATGAAATTCAACACAAGAGGCTGCTGAGCTGAATTCATGTTTGACCTCAACACTATGAAAAAGGTCAAACTGCAGTGACGGGGTGCAGATTCTGAAATATGTGGCTTAAAAATAGGCCAATGACTTTGCACAATATGCAGGAGAGCACAAGATACATGCTCATTTATCTTGAGGGACATGCTCGCTTATCTTGAACATAGAAGCTCACTTATCTTCTTGGCTTCTGTGTTCACACCACTGGATGAATACAGAGGTCGACATTTTTCATCCTCTCACTTTGTCAAACCCTCGAACATGTTAACTGTGCCTTTGAGTGCAGGTCGACACGGGCCTCAACTTAGAATTTTCCAATGCAATCAGTTTTTGACATATTTTAGCATGCTAATATGTGCTAAGTAAGTGCAGCACTCAAAAGTTCATGCTAAGGGAAACATGCATGTACTAAATTCCACTGTCGATATTTCACACAAAACCACAAATGTCAACCTCATGTTAGCGCTAGAGGAATATTGAGAGGAACCACGGATATCTTGTACAAAATATCTGCCAATGACAGGTGAGGTATTCCAGCCTGAACCCAACAGACAGACAGACATACAAAGAACCTCTGCTTCGCTACAACAGTCACATCTGTCTGAGCAGGTGCATCTGACACAAAAAAGATTCTGAGTTACGACCATGCGATGAATAACTGATCCATGTTTAAAGATACTGAGTTGACGAGGGTGTAGTTAAATGTGCATCTGTCACAAGGCTTTGGTGTCGTGTTGCTGTGTGTGTCACGAAGGTGTGGCTTCAGCAGATGAGATTCTAACAGACTGTTGGGTACAGAGGTGTGTTTGTGTGAGCATCACACAGAAACACCAGCTGGGATTCGACCGCACTCTCATGTAAAAAATATGCACTGATAACAGGTCATTATGTTCTCAGTGTCCATAACTGGCAATTTGCATGTGGTCAACACACTATTTACCTTGTGAGGTAGCACAAGTAAAATATGATTTTTTTAATTTACAGAGATAAGCTGGGAAGGTTTTTTGTCCTTACAAGGGCACTCACAGTGATGTGCAAAACAGCTGCATCCTGGGAGGAGAGAGATTTAATCTTTCAGCGTTCCGTCGTTATCCAATGTTCAGTTTCTCCATAAGCTGATTTACATGTCGCAGAGCAAAGAGTGCTTTTTTTACAGAAACCTTGTCCTCCATCAGCTGGATAGATACAAAAATCCACAAGAAAAGGTTGCTGAGCTATAAAAAATAAAATAAAAATGAACTCTGCTAAATGTTGATTTTCAGTCAAGGTGTTCTGATGAATATACGTCTGGTATTTTGACATCTGCTTGTAAAAAATCACTAACGTGGCCCAAAATAACACAGAAGAACGCCTGTAAGAAAAATGTTCCTCAAACTCTTTGTGGAGGTGTTGAATGAACAACACTGTGAGGTTGTACAGACTGAGTTTTATTTATTTTCCAATCTTCCTTGAGCATACTTTGTTTTTGTCTACACCCTTCACCACTCCCGAAATGTACAAAGTACTTTGTTAAAAATCTGTGGACGGCAGAAGCAATTATACTAATCAGCACCAACTATAGACCCTTTCGTACAAAACCTTTTATGCAGTGTGGTGGTCGCTGTCAGACAAAGCTTTGAGGATTTAAGTTGTACAGGAAGAATCTGACTTTCTCAATGGGAACAGTCCAAAGTGAAACAAGCACTATGACTAATAATGATCACACCTGAAATATAAAGATCATCATAAGGAAAGACACAGACCTGAGGAGACACTCCACTTTGAATTAGCTCTAGATTTCTTCTTGCTTATATTCCATCTTGTTGTATTTACTGTTCTGCTGTCAGGCGCGTTCTAAAGTTCTCCACCTTCGCTCCGAGACAAACATTCCTGAGGCAGAGCCAAGAGAGTGACATCTACCTCACAACTTCTCACTGCTCACATACAAAACACTGCAACTGAGAGGAGCCAGGCAACACAACCATTGCACCAAAGCTCCGAACAAAGAGTGAAAAAGAGCAGAAAACAGCTGCTACATTTTAGTGACTACTTGTGATATTGGCACATGGCTGCTACATACAGTCAACACGCAAGCACCAGATCGGGGATTGTTCCAACATCAACATTTCAAACTACCCCAGAGTTTTACCAGTTTTGAACTGGAGTCATACATTGTTTTGGGGGTAGTCAGATAAATGCAATGTTCACTGGCTCATATCTGTGCTTGACATTTATGAGGATTATGTCATCACTGTTTCTAACCAGTACACAAACACAGCAGGAGGTCACAGAGCAGCTGACTCAGTAAAACACAAGAAGAAGAGGGACGGTTAGACTCTAATCAGCACGTCACTCTACCTTTATTTCAAAAACTAGAGTCTCAATATCAAAATAACTTATCACTCAGAATGTTTATGCAAATTTTAATATATATTCTTTATATATCTATAAATGCTGTATATATCAGTCAAACTCAAGGATTTTGTGTTTTTGAAATCTGACAGCTCTGGTGGATCCTTACATGAAATCATTTTAAAAACTGATGTATAAGTGTTTTGTTGTGTACAGATGTACAGTTTACATCACTCACAGTCTGTGGCCAGCCACCATTAACAGTGTTGTGGCAGCAGTGAGACCGATTGAGAGATGGAGACAGAGGGAAATGGATGGACGTCCTGTTTAAACTCTGGAAGTCGGCCAGTGTGCTGCCGCTGGAACAAGTTTTTCACTGAGCTACAAGTGGGACAGTCAAGCCCCTGGTGATGATGATTTTAGAGGATTATTAAGAGTTATTCTTGGGGCTTTCTCAGGCTGCTCAGGGACTTCTCTGCTGTGGTCCGGTCTCACGTTGGTGCAGTGGCACAGTGATGCACATTATTTCACCCTGGAGCTGCTGAGCGGGTGCTTATGTAATATGGGAAGCACAGTTACACTGCACAGGGTGCTGCGTGATGTGCCCTGACTCAGCCCAGGCTGGAACCCTGACAGCATGTTGTCCTTAAAATATCATTGCTGCACTTTAACTGTTTCTAATCAGCAGTTACTGCCAATATGAAACTACAGGGTCTTCATAAATCACTTTATTGCCTTTTGAGTTATGTTGCTTATACGGCATCATGTTTTCCAAAAAATTGATAGTCAAATAATGTCTGTCTTTGTAAAACCTCTGGTGTCGTATTCCATCACACTCACAAGCACTATAATATGAAATGGCTGATGTGCAGTCTCACGTTGTGCATATCGACAAAATATACTTAAATACTGATATATCTGTGATATGACATAAAATCATAAAAGGATATGTTGGTCAGGCTCTTGCTGTCAGACAGACAGACAGATGGACAGACGGACTAGAACCAAGGCCACGCAGGCTATTTTTTTTTTTTGCCCCTCCCTCCCCCAATCGTGTCCTCCCCCCACGTGCCCCTGGCTGTGCCCCATCTGAAGGCTGTTGGTTTTGTTCCTGCCAAATCAAGTGTGCTGAAAATTAGGGTCATAACAATGGTTATTGTATTGTGGTGTAACTAACAAAAGGCATTGACGAAGGTCGCCCGAACCTTGCACGGTGCGTTACTCACAACCGTGTCCTAGAGGACGACAGGACAAACACAGTGTCCACTTTTCAACAATTAAACACAGAAAACTCAGCAGTGCAGATTTTTGTTTTAACATTTCTGCGCAAGATGTAGCAAAGGATGAAGATAAATGTGACCAAGAAAACATATCTCTTTCCTCCATCTTAGGGAACTTGATGTTCCTCGTGTATTAGCCCATTAGCATTTTTATATTTTCTGTTCTTCGCTCACCAAGTTCAGGTTTTATGGACTTGAGATCCCTTTGCTGTATATTTACACGCAACCCGAGGCGATGACAAAAACTGGTTATTCTGCCAGAGAGTTTGGTACTGATGCACAGTCACTCTTTCCCAGAGAACACACATCAACATTGATTAGTTTACTCTGCAGTTCTGCTCAATCCCAAATACAACATCCTACCTCAGTGCAAAGTGTTGAAGCGACCCGGTTCACAGTTGAATAAACGAAGCTCGAGAGAATCAAAAAGACAAGAGAGTCGTAGAGATGGAGAGGAGGTGGAAAGCCAGTTGGAGAGAGAGGTGCACAGAGGCAGCTGTCAAACTAATGGAGATTTCACTTTTCTCTCGCTTGCTCATTCGCTCGCTGCGTCCACCCCACTTCTTCCTCATCTCTCACCCCTCCCCTCCCTTGCGTTCCCTCCCTTTTGATGGCGAGTCTCATCATGCACTCACCCTCTCTCTCTTCCTCCTGATCCTGTCCCAGTCATTCGTTCATCCCCTGTGACATAACACCAAGCAAGAATGTGGCTTTGTTTTGGAGCCAGGGCTCGTTGCACGTTACGTCGCACGAACAAAACGGCCAGAGGATCATGACAACGAAACGTAATGGCGACCAGGGCAGCGGTGAATATATGAGGTCACGTGACCTTTCATTAAAGTGACCTGGTTCTTAGGAAGCCATCTGTGACACAGTGTGCGACTGGTTATAAGATGGGAGAACTGAAGCCTCACTAATATCATCACTGGAAGAAAAATGCTAATCTATAACACACGAAAGGTTGTAGCTGCAAAACGTAACATATGTAGGAGAAAAACATGGAAAGTGTGAGAACAGACAGTGATGTGAGATATCCCTGCTACTGCTTCATTTGGTTGAGCAAACACAGCACTGCAGTTGTTTTATGGCGTGTTCTCATTTGTATCACTTGCTACATTAATTTCCTTAAAGAATAAAACATCAGAAATAAACAGAAGTTCATTTTGGATGAAACTTCAACAGCTTCATCTATCTACTAGATCAAGAAATCTCTCTCTGTTAATATGTGGCTCAAATATCTTGAGAAGTGTTCATCTTATTGGCTTCATACTTGGCTTGTGTGTTATTAAGAGCCCTAAGAAGTGCAGTGTTGAATTTGGTGAAATTTGGATTAATGAAAAATTCAATATTAACAGGCGACCAGCTCATGTGTATGTTGATGTGGATCAAGATATAATGTGTATGAAACTGCTTAAGTAGCTCACTGACGCCCCCAGCTGGCCACTTAGAGAGCTGCACATCTAAATTAAGCACAGCAGAAGCACTGTTCCCATTCACTTTGCACTATACAACAACTTCCTGTTTCATCCTCAGCACAATGTTCTGAACATGTGCTAAAATAAAATTCTCGCTCATCTAACCGTCCTTGTTATTATTTCCAGGTGACTGAGAATAAAAGTACTTGTGTGCATTAATGGTTTCTTCCATTGCGTGCCTCTAACTCACCCATCCCCCCTGCTGGATGATGTAGCCAGCTTCATCCTCCTCTAGCAGGCGAATCCCCAGATGCAACAGAGTTGTCACAGACTGGCCCTCGCTTTGTAAAGCCTGGAGCAGCACCAGAGGCACCAACACCTGGGACACAGAGACAGAAAGATGAGTAGAGGTAGTATGTGTGGGAAGCAAAAAAAGTTCAGAGACTTAAAAGTAAAAGACATTACATATACATAAGAGTATGAAAAGGATACAGGGCAGATCAAAGGCTGTACTTTGCATATCTTGAGTAATTCTTTTAAGTTTGTACAGAGAGAAGGAAACTTCTGGCTCACCTTGCTCCAGCCTCCCTGTATGTGTGTTGAGAGATTCAGTGTTGCGTCTCTGAATCTCTGGTAGTCCAGATGCCTGAAACACAAACAGGGAGCATCACTGGTATTAAAAAAAAGTTTGTTCAGGAAATATTAAAACTACAGAATATTACAGGTAGAAAAAATGTGTTGTTGTCGTCCAGAGCTCATTTTCTGCCTTCGTGGAGTCAGGTGAAAGTTGATGACTTCTGAGTCTACACCCTCTTCCAGCTTCAGATTCACACACCTGAGTTTTATTTATGGTTAGATAGCTTGGTGTCATTTTCATTCACAGTGTGCAGCCTCAATCCAAGGAATATAAAGACAAGTGTGGCTCTAGGACAGTGCAAATAGCAGAAATATTCGGTTCAAGATTATGAGCCCTGTGCAACCATTCTTTTTGTTTCCCAACAACTCTGGGATTTCTTAAGTTGTCAAGTGAATAAGTATGAGTGTCTCTCTGTATGTTTAAAGTTTGTATTAATGAAAGACATGAAGAGAAAACAGAAAACTTGGGATTGTGTGGAAGACGAAGGGCTATGAAATGATTTGATGACACACACACAACATATGTGTGACTGTTACTGCCAATCCATATTAGTTTATATCTTTATGCCATTTTGTCATTGTTTACACTATTTAAACTGGACGGCATCACTGCTGAAGTTCAAAAGTTCACAGGGGAGAAAATGAACTTCAGCAGCAGTGTATCAACATTGACTTTGTCTCCTTTGAGACTGTGACACACATTTCCCTCACACTGTAGGTGTATTGTACGAACAGTGTTTTGAGGATAGTGTGGTTGCTGCACCAACAACGACAATGGTGCTTCTGTGTAGAATGTATGTAACATTAATAAAGAGTTAATGGAATAGAGGCGCAACGATTCCACAGCAGAGATAACTGATGATCATCAGCCCTGAAAACTACAACACATTGAATGAATCTTTTTCTCAAACATGGTCACAGCTCTGCACAACTGACCCTGTGAGGAGCGAATACACTGCGGCTGCCAGGGACGTGTCGAGCTCTCTGACCACCCGGTTTCCCATCACAGCGAGGCAGTCTTCAATGAAGCTCTCCGGGTTGGTTGGACTAAAGACTGGTGACGAGCGGCGGTCGAAGCCTGTGGTGGAAAAGGCTGCAGTCACACAGACCACAGGACAGAATGAGATCTCACACAGGTGGTACACTTAAATTAGAAAGATGACAGAAGGCAATCACAGTGGGAAAATAAATCTTATCAAATGTTATTGATGCAGTGTATGCATGTTGGTTTAAATGTCTATTGCCTTAAAAGGAATAAATTAGTGTATAATCACCTGAAACTAAGGACTGTTGTGTTATCATTAGCTTAGAACGAACACTTCTAAGTCCACCATGTTGCACTGCCATGTTGCCACGGACAAACCAAGTACTAGCTCTCTGGTGTTTTGGGTTTTTTTGTTATCTGAAGGCCACTGAATGTTTTTCCTACACATTTAGAAAGCTGCAAAAATTGACATTACTAAGTCCCACACACTGATCCCTGAATACTTCATAAACTCTAATGCACATGCACACAGACTTGTGATGCCAATATATTTTTCAGACAGCACACCAAGAGCTTGAAAGACCCTATAAGGCTTCTCCAAACTGTGGAGTTGCATGAATGAGTGTTTTGCTTTGGCAACACCTCCTGTGAAGATTGAAGATTCCAATTGTCAGGAAGAAAATAAGTTCTCTACTGAATTGATGCTTACAGTGATTCAGAAAGTTGACCTCTTCCTGCACATAAGCTACGAGGGTTGTCTGACATAACGCTCCCTCATGCTACATAACCAAGCTTATGTAAAGAAACCAAAGTACTTCTTCCACATACGTTTCATGTTACACATTGACAAACACTCTCTTCTGGAGTTCTTCGAACTCTAAAAAACTATTTACAATTATATCCTCTGAGAGTCAGTGCCCTTCATCCGCAGGCTGGGGGTGTACCAGTAACTTTCCTCTATTTGTCCCTTGTTATTTTCTTATTCATTTAAATATTCTGTGCATTTCATGTATTGTGTACCTGTTTGTATTTATACATTTGATCACAAAAAATAAAATGTCTAAACAATATAAAAGACTTGAGAGCAGAATATTAGTTGCATTTTGGACTTGTAAACATTTATCTGAGAACAACCAGTGTGTGTGTGTGTGTGTGTGTGTGTGTGTGTGTGTTTTGTACATACAAGCAGCCATTTCATCTTCCAGTTGCCTCAGCTCTTCCTCTATCCGTTCTTTTATCAGTCTCGTCCTCTCCCTCTCATTCTGGGCGTCTTCTAGAAGATAAAAGCATGTGACACATGAAATCACTGTCTGTCTCCCTGCTCGCGTGTGTCTCACTCACGCACGCACGCTGACTCTTCACAAATACTTCACAGTGCTCTACAAAATATTACACAAAACCCCTAAAGGAAAACATTATACACGTGGATACAAGACAGCAGTGCACAGTTTATGCTGAACCGTGAGCTCACATTCACACAAAACACGTTGTGAATGATGCCATTCATTACAGACAGACGCAGCAGTCGTCTGATAAGAAGGCTGACACACAGTTTCCATGAAACTAAGAAGGATGAGACATGGGCGAAGAAGTAACCCATTAATTATTGGTGTGATAGAAAGGGTATTCACGTCATGATGGAATAACCGGAAAACATTAATCTTAATGATGTCATCAATAAATCAAATAATATAATATTACAATCAGCTCTAAACAGTAGCTTTTAACGCAAACTTGTCAAATGTTGCTTTTGTCACTTGCAAACTGTTGGTCCAACCCTCACAGATGTCTAACACCAAACCTTTCAGCCAGTACAGACTGATGGATGATGATGATTCACCTGATCCCTTGTGTTTACTCTTCAACATTGTGCAGATATTGGAGATGTCGAAGTCTTTTTTAAACGTCATAAAGACTTAAATACAACACATTGTGTTTACAGCGTCAGTGTACTGGTTTGAGAAGAGATAGATTGACCTGGGATTTGTAAAATTACAAGTATCATTGAAAAATAACACTATTTAATTTCCCACTTGTTAAATCAAACAGGAAGGAAGCGACCCCTGCCCCACTCTCTCTCCCTCTCTCTGTCTGTAGCCCTGCAGCTCAAACATGAACACCCCGAGGACCAGTGTTGTCTTTTCCTGGGTTTGGTGCTGTTTCAGCATTCAGCCAGACAACAAGCTGGCCATCTAGTTTGCTTTGGTCCATTGGCATGAGTAATCCTGTGGTGATTGCACATGACAGGCTGTCAGAAATTGGACCCGGTCATGCGGAAAAAGGGGATCAGCCACTTATCTGCCCTTCTCCGCCCATTCTGAGCATGAACACAACAAGAAAAAAGAGACAGGAAATATAAAGAACTTCCCTGTCTCCCTTCTTTCTTTGTTTTTTTTTTTCAAACAATCTTTACTTCTGTTTTTCTTCCAGAGAGATCGGCCCATATCCTGTGACAGAAGGAATGACAGCTCGGCTGGAATATATCTCTCCCTGTTCTCAATCAGATTTACTTCTTTTCATGGCTTCACTGCACAGAGAAGTCATGACATGCTGGTGGCAAGTGTGAGATGTAGTTTCACACATTGTTTTCGCTGACAGCACATAACATACTGAATCTTAAAAGAATTACAAATGTGACAAAACCTGTTCAAAAGACACTGTGACAATGTGTTGATTTCTTTATATTCCAGGCACATAGGGAACAAGAGGAAAACCCTGACTTGCTACAGCCTGAGGTCATGTCACAAGGCTGCAATAAAAGCCTCTGTGAAGACACGCCAGTCTTCTGTTAGTCTGGACACCATATTGGAATGATTGTGGCTGAGCTCAGTGGTAAGCTCACTACTATTTGTTCACGAGCACATGTTTCAATAGGCACCTCAGTCTCTGGGTGTGTTTCCAAGCCAATGTCAGAGAGGGTTAAAGGTAACGGGTTAACAGGTGGAAACCTGACTACACACCCTGAATAATTGTGTTTGCATCACATATGTGCTGTGTCAGTGCAGAAGAATAATGGTTGCCCTTATTACCTCTTTCAAGCAGGTAATGTTATTTTCTGTGTGTGTGTGTGTGTGTGTCTGTGTTTGTTTGTCTTAGTATGCAGGATTACACCAAAACTACAGAACAGATTACCACGAAACCTTGTGGAAGGAAGCAGTATGGGTCAGAAAAGGAAATCGGTCCGGATCAGGGGGCGAATCCAGGGATCATTTTAGAAATTTCTAAGGCAGTTTTAAACATTTTCCTTGTTTTCTCAGAGAATAATTCATAGATCTTTAAGAAAAAAAATGCTGTTTTTCATGGGACTGATATTTATGAGTGTGTTCATTTTGCTCATTCAATAAAAATATGGATTTAGTGAATCACTGTTGGGCCTTGGCGGAGGTATTTGCTCTTCTAGTAAAGGATATAGGTCAAACTGCACAACATGAGAAGGACAGAAAGGATTAGTGTCCCATCTATATCATTTCATTTCTTCACTTCGACATTAGATTGAAGCAAATCAGATTTAACCAAATTACAATAAACCACAGATTTAAAGTCCCTCCTCTCACCTTGAGCTGGGGATAGTGTGTGTGATCTACCAACAGGCAGCATTCCCAGGTAGGTGAGCACGATGTACTTGGTTTCATAGTGGAAACCCGCAGGCACAGCGGAGTCAATGGAGGCAGAAATGGTTGAGCCCGAGGTAGCCATTGGACAGACGGTGTATGTTAGACTCTCAGGCACATGAATTCTCACAGTCGATGTCGGACGTCTCACCTGCAGAGTATGAAGAAGAATGGAAATAATTAGTGATGAATAATGACATCTAATGATAATAAATACAATAAACCAATAGGAACTCAGACTTGAGAACACTGAAGTAGAGGATCCATGTCTCTCTTTATAACCACAGGAAGTTTTGTATTAACTATTAAGCTTAAACACACCACAGCCATGAAAACTCCTACAAATTCAAAGTTCTTTGCTGTTTTCTGGAGGTAAAACTTAACAAGAACTTTATTATCTTACGTAGTTGTCCTCTAGAGATGAGGTCATCAAGCAGACCTCAAGTTACAGTAGTGACAAGTTTATCTAACTTAAAAAAAACTTCCGGCTCGGTCTATCAAAATAAAACCTCTTACCTACTGTCAAAGTTCATTTTTAAAACCCAAAGAATATCACGATGAGAATAAGAGCAAATAGAGAAAACACACGAAATCCTTATATTTCTTTTCAAAGCTGCAGCACACCTCAAACAGTGCATGACAGCAAATTTTAACAATAACAATAATTTAATGAAATACACACACAGCTCGTTAGCTAACTACTTTTAACATCCTCTATAGAATCTAAATAAAGGCAGGCTGCAGTGAGAAGGTGCGTTCAGGTGGTGGAGGGAGGAGTGTCCGCTCCACATGCAGGCTACAGCTAGCTTAACATGCGTGTTTCACTTCTAACTACTTTATTTCCTGCGGAGCTCGTTCCCGCTGGGGTTTACTCACCGTCCCCGTCTGGAGTGGACCCACGACAGCTGGAGGGGGACACGTACAACACGGTGGCTGTGGCGGACACACACTCACACTCTCACACTCACACACACACACAGAGAGAGAGGGACACACACCGCGGGGCAGGCTGCAGCTGTGGTACACGGTGTGCTTTACATGCTATACAAGCTAGCGAGGAGCACACAACAACACGCTTCCTGCCAGGACCGTCAGAATAAAACCCGTGAAGGTCGCGACAGGAAGTAAGGTCGTTACTTTAGCGATATTGTTTAAAAGTTGTTCTGATATTTATATTTTAACTTTGAAGGGAAGGTGTTTCACCATCATGTGTTAAGGTTTCCACTTGCAACCACAAAGATTTGCCTCCAACAATCACTTGCACAGTTTAAGTAACTCGCCAACACGCTTTCCTAAAGCACACGTGCGATTTCAATTATTTGTGCTAATGACTTGGTAAAACCTGCTTCTTCAAAAAATGAAGTTCCCTCCCTAAACCTGCTCACCAGGATTTAATGGTACCTATTATTATTTTTTCAGATTAGTTCTAGTTAAATTATTTTGTGTCTTTTTTACGTTTGTGTGTTGTCTTGACATCTTGGGACCATATTGGAAATAAGTGTTTTTTCACTTTAACATGTTACCCTGTGGATGTTATTGTCTTAGTAAAAATCAATCAATCAATCAATCATTCACTGAATATAAAGATGGAGGACAGCTACTTAAAAAAATGAAGCCAAATCACCTGGATCGCCCCCTACTGGCTGGCTGTGACATAGGTCTTAGGAGTCTTAATCGCCCCATATGTTTGAGTTATTTAATAATAATGTCACTGGTATTCTGCTTGTTGTTATATTGCCTCATCTCGTCCATCAAACAAACAACCGGATGTGTTGAAGTCGTGTCTTATTCTGAAAGCCTTCACAGAAAGTTGTGTTTCCTCTGACATGTGTAACTTGTGACACCAAAAGGAGCTGAAGCGAGTTCCAGCTGTTTTCTTCGAATAACTGTTCGAGTGGTGACAACTTTCACTCTTTTAACAAACTCCACAACACAACAACACAACAACACAACACAACAGCGGACATGGCGCTGACCGACGCGGACGTACAGAAACAGGTAAAGTGAAGTTAAAATGTGAAGTTAAACCACCGGGATCCAAATGAACGGTTGTGAATGTGAGTAAACATGTCAGCTGCTAGCTAAGAAGCTAATCCCTGAATCTTCAGGCTGTTTAAAAAGTGTGGTAAAGAAGCACTTCAGTTGATTGAACAGAAGTGTTTTGATTCACTTCACATTTAAAGTTAAAACCAATTACAGCTGAAGGCTACAAGTGAATGTGTCCTGACAAACTCATTAAACCACGCGAAGAAATGCTAA